ATAGAGGTTATGATGCGGAAGTGTTCGAGTAGGTTGTAATCAGAGTCACGATCTAGAAGTCGTTGGGTGTGTTATCTGCGGCGAATTCGTTTTCTTTTCGTTCCTATTTCAACTTTCCTCTGATATTTTCTTATTGTTCTTTTCCTGTAAAACAACACTGGATACAAGTTGTTAAGTTAAATGTTGCATTATGATATTTTATTTATAGACTATAGTTTTTCGTTTCAATTTAGAAAATATAAGGGAGAAATTGTTTTAATGTTACTGGTTTTGAATTGATTTGATAAAAAGAAATTTTTCCGGTGGCTAGTATTGTTGGTAAAGTATTAAAAAGTAATGTTAGAAGCAGTAATACCGACAAAAAAAATGGTGTTTTCTTTTTAATAAATAGTAAAAAGGTTTTAGACCTTTTTGAGTTATATACAGATAGTAAAAAGTTTGTACATGAATAAAGTGGAAGATCCTTTGCAGTGTGAATGGATTAACTTTTATACAAAAAATAAAATAAAAAACAATTATCGAAAAATATCATACGGCTAAAACAACAAATACATTAAATTTAAGAAAAAGATAAAAATCGAAAATAAAGAGAGTGAGTGGTCTCATATGAAATCATCGGCCGCTTATTAGTTATTGTCTGATATAGACAACAACAAGGTTTTAGAGTTTCTATTTAGAAACTCTGTAATAAATCAAAACAATTGTTGATCTGTTGATTTGTAAGACAGAATCACGAATTTCTTGGTGAATTCTGGATATTATGTGTTTGTGAGAATTTTGGTGATCTGTGAGAAATTCTTGATGAATTGTGTGTGTGAGAATATCTGGATCCCAAAATTAGGACAAACTAAGGTCTTATTTATAGAGTGAATTAGGTTTAAAAAGACTTAGAGACTAAGTTATCCAAAAGCCCAAAAGAAATCCCAAAGTTTGATCTCCAAAAATGGGAAGAAAAATAGTAAAAATAAGAAGAAAAAAAATGTTTAAAAGTGCAACACCCGAGATTCGAACCGGCAACCTCATACTAGCAAGCTTCATTCCTTACCAAATGTGTTACGTTACTTATTTGAAATAAAAAGCCAATTAAAAGTACATGAAGTCGAGCAAGTATTTGTTTATTCAAAAACACAAATAATCTTGAAATAAATTATTATATTTTTAAATAGGTTTGGAAGCGAAAAAATCAAGGAATATTTATAAAACCAATGTTTAAGAATATTTTTGACCGTAGAAATAAAGGGCTGGCAAATTTTGGGTATGACAAAATTCCCCTATGAATATTTCTTGGTTCAAATGTATGAATTTGATAGTATCTTCCTTTAAAATGACAAGATACTCCCTCAACAACTCTAAGGATATGTGGTGGACGTTGAAAAGGCTTGTAATTGATAGCTTTGTAGGTTGCAGGAATCTGGTGGATTAATGTCTTCACCAAGTCTTGGTAACTAATGATCGACAAGTGTGGTAAGTTCATGTATCATCTCAGTGTGGTGTCCTTAAAAGTGATAGAAACTAGATTGCACTTCAAGGATTTATTTAAGCCGATGATAGCCATCTGGGTGTTGATGTAGGCGCATGCTCCTGAGGGCTGCTCCATCCTTCAAACTTTGTCAATGATGGGGTTGATGATGTTGTTCTTCAAAGCTTGATTCTAGCAGCACAAATCTTCCATAGTAGTTTGTATTTATAGAGATCATGTGGGCTTAGCTATGAGTGGTTTCCATAGTTCCATCAATTGGAACATGGGACAGAGGAGACAAGTTTCTCTAAATCACGGGGAAACTATTTTCCCCCTCATTTACATTCTCTCACCGTTATTCCACGTGTGATGAGTGTGAGAGATTATGGATGGTGGATCCAAGCCTTATTGGATAACTCGCCATACCCTTCAGACGACCATATTCCTTTGGATGCCCTAACACATTTAAGGCAACTAGTCCACTTTGGGTGTCTAAACCCATTTCCATCCTTAAATCGATTATATCATAAGCTATTTAGTCATAGATTATCCCTTATTCAGTCTCAAATAAATTATCTTAGTCCAATAATTTAGAAAGAAAATGAAAGTTCTAAATTCTCCTCAAATCTATTTAAAGTGATTTGATATTAAAATCTAATTAAAGTTCAATATGTATTTTTCCCTTGTCATATAGGCGAGTTTTGCAAAATTCATCTGTAAAAAAAGCTTAAATTTCCCCATTTTCCAAATGTAGGGGTGTAAATAGATCAGAAAAAACTAAATAAACTGACAATCTAAACCAAACCAAACTGAAATAAAAACCAGTTATTTCCAGTTTGATTCTAAAACCGGACCGAACCAATAAAAATCAATAGAGTTTGGATCAGTTCTCAGTTTTAGTTTTTAGGAACCGCCAAATCGATGAACCGAACCAATGGATATAATTATGCTATAGATCTTTTATCTCACTCATAATTAAGTCCAAATTTTATATCGGTCAAATCATTCTTCATCTTTGTTTATACTTCTTTCGTTTCATCAAAACGCGCATCTAGAACTAAACTCCAAAACATAGAAAGTAGAAATCATAAATCATAAATCGCAAAAACTTGCTTTCACTTAATTGATGCTCTCGCTGCCTGCCAAAACTATTGCTCTCTCTACCATCGTTCTGATATGTTATTGTCGTCTTCTTCATGTTCAAGTTCTCTTCGTTAATTTTTATTTTTTTACCTTTTTTGTTTCTTCTTTTTCAAGAAATCTCCTTATAGTCTTGTTACAAAATAATTTTGATGTGTATTTGAGGTGAAAAAATGTTGATTAATGTGTATTTTATTGTGTTATATTTGTTAAGCTTTCAAATCTCTTCCCAACCTTCTGATATCAAATGTCAAATTTTATATTTGATAGTAGATTTATTTCATGATGAAATAGAAATTATGTCACTGTTTCGTATGGATTAAAAGCAACTTGTAATTTGTTAGAAAAATAGAGCACAAAGTAAATTACATAAAATGTATTATTTAAAAAAATAATAGCATAAAATAAACCAAAAAATACGATAGTGGAGAATAAACTAATGAATATAATGTTTGAAAAAAAATTGTAAACTAATCAACCAAACTAAACTAAATCGAACCATAATTGTTAGTTTGATTCGGTTCCATTCTTTAAAAATGTTAAAAATCAACCAAACGAAATCGATGGAGATATAATTAGTTTGGATTTTTTTTTAATAAAAAAATATGGGTCCAAACTGAACCAATTACACCCTTAGCCATATGAAGATTTCTCTCTTTGACCCCCTCAAGAAATTTACCCATCAATAACCTATTAAATGTCATGTAATTTTTAAAGATTTATATCAATTTTGCCTCATTAAATTGACTATTTTTGAAAAATCTTTCTGTCATGTCATTATTTTTTAGATTAAGCAAGCGACCTTTTCATGACTCAAATTGTCGGTATGATTTCCGGCTTACAATGACTCAAACGGGTGCCAACACCATTTGAATGATTAGATTTCTTGAAGAATCAAAACAGAAAAATCTTCGTATAGCAGAAAAAATTCAAACTTTCTTTTAAAACTCGGATATATGACTGAGAGAATTCACAAATCTAGAATTCCACTTTCAAATTAGAATAAAAATATTTAATTAATTATGTTAGTACTTATAAGACAAAATATAAATATGATTTTTTAGATGTGATATTTATTATTTTTTTCAATAAAAATATAATAAATATATTTAAATAGTAAAAATATAAATAATTACATATGTGAAAATTATATATTTATTATATTTTCATTGAAAAATAATAAAAACCACCTAAATAATTATACTTAAGTTTTATTCGTATAACTATTTATTTATTGTTTGTAAAAGAAACAAGGAAGTGAAGCATATTGAGTAAATAAATTTAAAAAAAAGGAAATGAAGCATATTTATACATAAATATCCGATAATAACCATAAAAGTCAAGCCACGTTGCCTCATAGTAGCCATTAGGTGACAAATTTAATCAAAAAATTATGCCATCATTAAAGCCGTATTTAAAGGTAGCTGGAAAAATATTTGGTATGAACTCAAGTCGTTATAGAGTATATATAGTCATTAAGACTTTTACTTGGAATTTTAGAGAGGACCAATCTATAAAAACTAGGTTTTGTTCTTTAATTTTAGGTGGAAAATTATTTTGATGCACACATTAATTTTACATAGTCAAAATAGCCATTGACTTTGTTTAATCTTTTCATGTAAAGGTGGATAGTGGACAACATAGCCAAACATGGTGGATCTCTCTCATGATTATTAAGCACCAACGTGATGCTTCTAGTTTTGGATCTCATAACGAAGGAACATGGCATATTCCATAGTTGTATTTTTTAATATTTTTAATCAAAATCTTCATAAGGATATTATTTTATTCTAGTTATTTTTTTAGAATAAAAGAAAATCATAATGCATAGTGTTGTCCCACAAAGTGTCTTCTGGCTATGGTTTGTAAGATGTGTCGGTGGGATTAGGTTGTAACGCGGAGTTTAAAATCATATAAAGATGGTTTTATGTCAATTGGTGAGAAATTAAGGTGGGAACAAGTAGTAGAAGTAACACGTTTGTTATTATTCTATCCATAAAGCTTTTTTTGACTGCATTCTATCCATATATATATATATATATATATATATATATATATATATATATATATATATATATATATATATATATATATATATATATACATGATATACAATTTACAAAAAAATATTATTGATTTTTACGGGAAGAGAAAATGAGAGCTTTGAAAAAACTTTTTTTTTTTAATTATAGAAAAAGTTTTAATATTTAAAAAAATATATTTAGAATAATAAAAGAGTATTTATTATTAATATATTTTTAATTTTTAAAATATTATAACAACATAAATCTACTATATAAGAACCCTCTTATTTGTAGAAAGATCAAAATTACCCTTGCTTGTTTATCCTCCACATTGTCATTTTAACATCACTTCAAGTATTTTTATGCATTTGTCATAACTATGTAAACATAACTTGCATTTGAACCATGCCTTTTCTGCTTGCCTCACGTTTGCTATGCTGAATTACAACTAATTTGTACCCACTACTACTAAATGTAACTAAATCATGTAAAGTAGTATACGAGTTGTGAACCTCTACACGCTTCTCCAATATGTCTACATCACAATACTTCCATCTACTTTCATGTATACCAAATCTCTCACTTCCTTTAAGCTTGTATAATCCCATTACCTTGTTGCCTCTCAAATCTCCCCACCGTCGTCTTTGTAAGAGTTCTACGAATTTGATATCATCACCGATTGTAACTACCTTCTCCATGGCGTGTCTGTTCGAGCTTATCGAGGACATTAGCAATAAAAAACAGTTGTGGAAGCTTATCGTGAGAGTACATCACAAATAGACGATGAAATCAACAATGAAGGAATATTTTAAAATGGTCGTCATTGACAAACTTGTCATTTATTGTCTCTTTTAGTCTTTACATTTGTTACACATCAAAGTATTTTGACATCCCTCTGAAATAGCAGTTGGAGGTTTAGGAAATGTTTGTCTTTTTGATATGCTGAGCGGTGTTTTTGTGAACAATAGTGTCTCAAATATGTTATATGTACCAACTGGTGTCAACCACATGTTTACCACCATGTTTTTCACATATTTTGGTAGATTTATTTATCATTTTCCGTTTAGGATTAACTGTGAAAAATATAATAACCTGTATGATCTTTGACTGATTGCAGGGATATGATATTCATGTCATTGTGCCCACAATGTTTCGGCAATCGTTTGACTTTGCATTATTGATTGATCTTACATGTACCTTGTCTAACTTCCAAGTTCTGCCTAATGACTTACTGTATCATTGTTAATATGCATTTACATAGTTTGCCCAACCTAGGACTTTTAAAAATTACACCCAAATGCAGTCCATGAAATTGGACAATCCAAAAGTACATGTTATACAACCTTAAAACCAAAGTTATTATCAATAACATTATAACGGTATTACATAACTTATGTCCTAACATATGTGTGATACGGTGGGAGAACTGACTAGAGTTTTGCGTTCGTATTCGCACTTGTGCGGTTGAGCAAGAGTCGCCACCGATTTTTATTTTATCCTAAAGGAAAGGTTGAAAAAGCACAGCAAAAACCTTTTGAGATATTTCGTGGGTTCGGGGGGTAGATTATGAAAAGGGAAGGTATTAGCACCCTTTTCATCCATGGTTATCCATGGGCTCTTAGTTACTTGGTTTTTTTAGATCACTTGCCTTGATTTTTTGATTGCTTGAAAATGATGTGTGTGTGTGTGTTTTGAAAATGTTTTTGAAGAAGATGCCTTGTCTTAGGCGACCAATGTATTTGACTCATGTTTGAGTGTTTTACAAAAGTGTGTATCTTTTTGAAAAGATGTTTCAAATGTTTTTGAGAGTTTATTAGAAAGTGTTGTGGATTGTGGTTTTTGAAAAGAAGGCAAGTGTTTTTGCAAGTTGATCTCAAGTAACTAAGAGTTTTGTCTACCCTATTGTACTCAAAGGTTTTTGTTATGTTTTAACCCCTTTTTTTAACAATTTTGTTCCACCATTGAAATTGGTGGACAATCTTGCGTTTAGGAAGTTTGTTCGGGACGGGCGCGGGTCATCGTATGGACCATGGATGCAATGATGCCAAGTGTCTTTGGCAATTTGCTTTGAAGGGACTTGATCATTCCGTTTAGGAAACACTTTGAGGTTCTTATGATCATTTGAATTCGTTTTGCCAAAGAAACTCGACGTGCAAGCATGGCCCATTTTGGAAGGCAACATGTGGGATTACCCTAGAGGGTGCAAGTGTGATTGTATATTGATTTCATGTATTTGTCTTGTGTTAGGTTATCTAGCGTTTGATTTTATGTACATGCAAACCCTAGGTCTAACCATGGTATAATTGAAAGCGGTAAATTGCGAAAATGTAAAATCTACGCTATTACAAAATAGTATCCGGGAGTGGGGGTACATGTGTATGAACGGGGATGAGACTTATAGTATCCAATAAGTTACAACCAAATCGAATTTGCGATCAAATGTAAATGACGAATATCAATGTATAAGATAAACAAGTGTGTATAGGAGCAATATATTGTGTATTTGTATTGTGTATTTGTATTGTGTAAGTATGAGATGTATTGTGTAAGCATGTGATTATTTACAGGTGCGGAATGTGAATTTAAGAAAGTAATGTTAGGTATTTGTTTTGACCTAAAGAAAAATTAAACGTCTATTTAATTAATTGGTCTTGTAATCTTGTATTTTGATATGTATGAAAAGAATGTTTTAATGAAAAGAAAATGTTTTCAATTTAATTAAATTATGTATAAAAATGATGTTTTAAGAAAAGAAAATATTTCTAAGTTTTAATTATATATACAAAAAAGTATTTTTTTTATTTGTTATGTACAAAAGTATATTTTAAGAAATTAAATTATGTAAAAATGTGTGTTTACTTATTATGTACAAAAAAAGTGTTTTAATTAAAAGAATAAAAAGGGTATTTTCAATTTTAATTATATGATGCAGAAAATGTATCTTAATTAAATGTTTAAGAAAAAATGTATTTTCAATTAATGTATTTTAAATAAGGGTATTTTATTAGTAATAAAAATTATTGTAAAGAAAGAACAAAAAGTGTTTATTTAAGTTTATTAAAGAGAGAATAAAAAGAAAATTAGGTTAGGCAAAGGAACAAAAAGAAAGCAGATGCATTGGGCTTTGTATTCAGAATGGGCAAGGCCCACGTTTGGACTCAAAAAGTTTTTAGGGTTTGGAGTTGTTTTCATTTGGAGACAAGGCTTTAGGGTTTGTGCAGCGGCGGCGTTCATGGAGGTTTCGTTCATTTTCTTTGCCATGGATTCAGAGAGTCGTCCTCTTCGCCTAAGCCATCAGCGCCTCATCCCTCTTCCTCCACAGTTCAATGAAGCGAAATGAACGGTAATCGCCCTTACTTCGTCTTTGTCTAGCGTATTTTTTAGAGTTTCGTTATTTGCATGTTATGGTTTACTGCTTCTCCTTGACTAAGGCATTTGATTTTGTTTGTTTTAACGAGGTTGAGGAAAAAAGGGAAGAGAAAAGAAGTTTACTACCTTTCGTTTGGGGAAGGAGGTGGGCGCAGAGATGCTCGGAGGCTCAGTGGTGAAGGGGACCGCTCGATGGGCTTGATGCTAGCTTTACAAGGGTAACTGGTACCTTTTTGTCTCACTCTTGGTTTGATGATGTCGACTGAAAACCTCCTCTTAGATTTACCTCTTTCTTCTTCTCTTTCGCCTTTACTGTTTGTTGCCTTGAACGCTTCTCTCTTCTTCTGACTTGTTGTCTTGAATTGTTGCTTTGAGATGCCTTTCGTTTATGTGCCTCTTGATTGCCTTACGAACATGCTTCTTCCTTGACTGTCTCTTCGTTGCCTGTGTTGTTCTGCTTGCTTATGTTGCCTATTTTGATTGCCCAATGATGTTATCTTCCTGAGGGCTCGAGGGTTTGGACACTGAGTTGCCTCGGTTGCTTATTGTTTTTGGAAGGTATTTTGTTTCTTGCCCAATGAAGAGCCTAGGGTTCTGAGGGCCTGTATACCTTGAATGTTTGTGTATGCTGTTGAATATGCCTTGGTGCTTGTTAGAAAAAACGCCCTATGATGAGTGCTCTGAGGGCTGGAGGTTTTGGACCGATTCAGGTGAGGCTTTGGACTAGTTTTGCATATGCAGGTGTTTTTAGTGGTTAAGGTTTTTTATGGTTTGACAGTAGGGTGGTGTGCTTCAGCAGGTTTGGCATATGCAGGTTTCAGGTTAAGACAGGAGGAGGCTTTGAGCCATGTTGGTTTCAGGTTTGGCCTTGAACAGATTTTTGAGGTTTAGACCAAGTTATATGCTGGTTTAGCAGGTATAATGGCTTGACAGGTTATAAACTGGTATGGCTTGTTGCAGGTTATTGTTTGGAGGTTATGTGTTTGGAGGTTATGTGTTTGGAGGTTATGTGTTTTTAGTAGGTTTTATGCAGGTTTGGCATTTTTACTGGTTTTTGATGTTTAGGTGTTTGATGTAGCAGGTACAGGCTTGGCCTTGACAAGTTTTTGTTAAGCTTGAGGCTTCTTGCTTAAGGTTCTGGACAGTAGGTTGAATGCTTAGCCGTTTTTGTATATCAGTTTGTATTGGTTTCTCCTTAACTTTGGTGAAAGTTCTGCCTTTTTTTTACTGTGTTCAGTTCTTGTGTGCTATATCTTTCTTCCTATGCCTTATCCACAGTGTTTTTCGTTTTTGTCTTTCTGCTTTCCTGCCTAAAAGCCTAAAAAATCTGCTTACTTTCCTCTTCTTTTTCTCTCTCTGTACAGTTAAATATTAAACTATGTTTTACACTGTACTTTTAGTTCTGAAAGTGGCCATTTTGTTGAGAAATGATGAAAATAAAGTGTCTTGCTTGCTTAACAAATTTCCTCTGCATATTTTATCTTTTCTTTTGACGGCTTTTGTACTTTTCTCCTTTTGATATCTTTGCCCAAATCCTCTTTTCTTTGACAGCTTGGGTGGACTTTTTGGCATTTTGACAGTAAACTGTACTTTTTGGATTTTGATAGAAAGTTGTAATCTGGATTTTTTCAGTTTGGTTTGAACTTGGAGTTTGAGATTGAGTTTGTGCAGTTTGACATTTTGAACTTATGTATTTTGACACTTTGCATAAAATTCTTCCCTCTTTGTGAACCGGGAGAAATCCCGTGATTTGCAGAGAGGGTTAACTGATCCCAATCAGTGGCCCTTAATGATGAATTTCTTCTGTCGTTTATTATTTTATCTGCTTTTTGACTTTTCTCTTTTTCTTTTGCAGACGAATAAAAATGGATGGAGGGGTACTAAATGAAGACTGAAGAATTAGAAGAAATAGGATAGTTTTCCTTTTTTATTTAAATTTAAATTGATGTAAAACCATTGTTTGTAATTAAATTATAAACAATAATTGTACAGTTAATTTAAGAATAAATAAAAGTTTCCAATATCCTATTAATTCTGTTTTTCTCTTTATTGTTTATTTATTATTTAAAACTCTTTGAATTAAAATAATTGAAAAATAAATTTCAATCACTTAATTTAGAATAATAAATAATTTAAATAAAACAATGCCTTAGTAATTGATCAGCTAATCCTGGCCTTTCCAATGTCCAAAGCAAAGTAACAGTTAACCGAAACAAACCAAACAGGCGCATTCCCTCTTCACTGATTTTCAACAAACACTGTAAATCCAAACTGCGTATTTCTTTTGACTGGCTCAAACAAAACAACGTGAATTCAAACCAACTGCCTCTTTTACTGATTAAATCAAAAAAATGTGAAT